TTAAGAATATTAAATAGGAATATATTACTCACCAAATACTTGAAATCCCAGCACACAAGTGTATGTTGTCCAATCTATGTCCTTACAATCAGAGCGGTTCCTTATCAGTTTACAGCCATTTGGAATGTCCCCTTTATAAAAATATATAATTGGTATTGGAATAGCTAGTTATAATTTCCATTTGTATCCTATCTTTCTATCCCTAGGGTTCTCAAAGTAACTCTCAGAAGAAAAACATTCAGAAACATAACTCAATTAAAACCCTGTTAGAAGCAACAACTAGTCATTATCATTCCAATTCAAAAGAGCTTGTTGAAATGAAACGCCATGTTCCTAAAAAGAGAGAAACAGCAGTCTCTGGAAGGGATGTGTTCCACATTTTGGAAACACGGTAGGAAAAGGTCCTCTCCTCTATTCCTAAAAATGGGCCTCTGAAATTGGTGGCATTTTTAAAGAGAGGCTCTTTGATCCTGTGTCTGGTCAGGATCAAACTAACCATACAGTAAAACAATATTAGAGTGAGATTTTTTTTAAAGTTATCTATATTATTATTGTTTTTTTTTAAAAGCAAAATAAAAACAACTGTGAAATATTTTGAGTTTGAATAACTGTTTAAAAGTGCTTACTAGCAGGGTATGTTGCAAATAGAATTTTTTTCACTATACTATCCCTTGTTATTTGGGTGTTGCAAGCATTCATGCTCCAAAGCAATGGTGGCCAAGCAAATTATTCTACATTGTGTGTATTATTAAAGAAGGATTCAAAGATACAATGGAAATAAAATCTAAACACTGAACTATCTTTTAGCCATAAGAAAAATAAAAGGCTAAATAGCAGTTTTACTTTTTATAAAAAAAGAGAACATTTTGTTATAATAAATAAGGCTTATACAGTTCATTTAGTGACTGTTCGAAGTTACAACAGCACTTATGACCATTTTTCATAGTCACATGATCAAAAGTCAGATGCTTGGCAACTGACTCGTATATATGACGGTTGCAGTATACCAAGGTCACCTTTTGTGACCTTCTGACAAGGGAAGTCAACTGTGTTACTAGTTTAACACTGCAGTGATTCACTTAACAACTGTGACAAAAAGGTTGTAAAATGGGGCAAACTAACTTAACAAATGTCTCAGTTAACAACAGAAATTTTGGTGTCAATTGGGGTCGTAAGTTGAGGACTTACCTGTAGTTTAAATTATTTATCAAATGCTTGCAAGTCCAAGAATTAGGGCTGACACAATCATGTTAATATAAAATATATGATTTCAGCAGATTAGCATATATAACTGTCTGCATATGCTACATTCCAGTGCAAATCCTATTGTAATTGTTTTCTAAGCTGAAACATCTCAAATTTCTTATAAAAGCTTCTCATGAAAAAGCTTCACATATCTTGAAAATTTGGGGCATAACTTTAACTTACATTTTAGACTATACAACTGTTTGCCAACAATAAATGCTAATAGAATTTAAACTTAAAGTGACAGACGGGGGAATAAAATCTTAAACATTCCTTCTCTTTGAATTTTCATTCACTGATTCCTTCAATAGCTTTAGACTTAAATTGATATAATTTTATTTCTATACATGTGAACTTATTTATTACTGTAAATAAAGAAAAGCATCCAAAGACACTTTTAAGTGGAATTTATACTTGAAACTGTATTTATTCTTAAATGGATTAGGATCAATATATGTTATTACTTTAAAGTTCTCTATATAAAGGAGCCCTGGCGGTGCAGTGGACAGAATGTAGTGTTGCAGTCTAACTCTGCCCACAGTCTGGAGTTTGATCCTGGAAGGCTGAAGGTTGACTCAGCCTTCCATCCTTCAGAGGTCAATAAAATGAGGATCCAGATTGTTGGGGACAATATACTGACATTGTAAACTGTCCAGAGAGTGCTGTAAAGCACTATGGGGTGGGATATAAATCTATTGCTATTGCTATATGCCATAGGGCCAGGTTATCTATGGGACTGCTTCTCCCTAAGGACATCTACCTCTCCTACCAAATCAGATAATGTCAGTCCATTCCTTTAATGTCCAGTTTGTACATTCCCTTTAAAAATGTCATTTTATGGATCTAGGAAATGTGCATTCCTGGGGCAGCTATTTCCTATCGAATACCCTTTGCTTTGAGGTTCACCAGGCCTCTACCCTCTTAGTATTTGGTTTTCCCCCCAAGCCTTGACATAGAGAGGTAGTGAGAGGATTAAATGAGGGACTTCATAGTGCCAGGCTTTTAATGTTTATGGTTTAATAGATATGTGTATTTGTTGTTTTATGTACAGATATTGTTTTAATTGTGTATCAGCCGCCGCCCAGACTTTGATATAAGATGGGCAGCTATATGAAGCTTTATTTAATAAATAAATATATGAAAATAATGAAAATTACTGCTAATAGTAAAACAAGTCATGTTCAATTGAACTTGATTCCTGCTAGTTACGTAGATGCATGCATGATTTCTTGGCAAGATACAAATAGCCATTGCCTTCTTTTGGAATTGCATCTTGCAATCTTAATCTCCTTCAATTGATAGTCAAAAGCAGGAACACTTCAATGAAATAGGCATTGTGTTTTATAATTTGTATGTGAAATTGGGCCAGATTTCTTCTAATTCTCATCCTGCCTAGTTTTCATAAGCCATTATTCTTCACTATTACACAGTAACAATTTACAAAAGACAGCAGACATATCTATAGAACCATGGGGGCTCTTCATAAGAGTTTATTGTTACTTCATTATTATTCAGTCTTATTCTGATTTATAATGTTCATATCCTGGATATCTCCAAGCTCATTTCAAGTATACCATAATTGTTTAAGATATTATAACTTAAATTTTGTCTTTTAGGTCAATAAGCAATAATTTTGGTAATATAAAAAAAAATCCTGCAAAGTTGTGACAATTAAGCTGAATATAGCCTGCCAGCCATGGTTTTTCCTAGATTAGGAATCCCAAACAAACAACAAACCCAAAAGATTCTACTACACCACCTTTGGGCCAAGGAAAATAATTTGTTTTGTAAGTCTAATGCACATGGGACATTTTGAGCTCTTAAAATAAAATTTACTAAAATAAAAGAATATTAATAGTCCTAAAATAATTATTTTAACTAGTACATCAATAAAGAAGGGATTTAATCAAGCAAGCATACATAACACTTTCAAGCTAAAACTTATACTCTTGACATATCATACCCCAGCACCTCTTTCGTAAAATGTTAAATTAACTGATGCCTTTGCAGAGAAAGAAGCTATATTTGGAAATAACATTAAGAACAAAATAACTTTGAATAATACTGAAGATCAGGTTATAGAAGGTCAAATTATTATCCTGTCAAGAAGCATTCCATGTAAAGCACGTTTTCCCCTTATGATTGTTAGCATTTTTCTAGTATGGAAGTAATTGCAATTTTGTACTCACAGTATAATATTTCATAATCTCCTGAGTTGGACATTATGTATTTGTTTTCTGGGGACCAATCAAGGTGTGTAATATAGCTGGAATGTCCCTAAAACACATATAAACAAAAAAGAGATAAAGAGGCTATTAAAATTCTAGTTAAAACCGTGATTTCTCCCTCTTTCATCTTTTAAAATGTTCATATAAACAAATCAACATAGTAGTTTATAAAACCAATCCACCAAGTTCTATATTTTGATGGGGCTGAACTAGAGCCCATGAATGGATTACAATTACCAAAAATCCCAGTTAGCCGTGTTGAAATGTAAGCATATGGCAGACAGATGCAGATGCCTGCTTTAATCATTTCATTGTGTGCGCTTACTCCTTCTCAATTGCAATGATTTCCCTATACATAACTGATTTAATAGCAAAAGCAAATTGACCTGTCAATCACATCTGAACCTGGGCAAACAAGATTTGTATGAAGATGGAGTGGAAGGCTACAATTTATCCTTCAACTGAAAGGGTGGATATACAATAACAGAAATGTTTTTTTGTGAGCAGTTATGTATAGAGCTTGTTTCATGCCAAGGATAATAGAATGCCAAATTCAACTGTTTTACATGAATGAATTTGCTTTTACAATGTTCCCAGTTGCTCAGGAAAACATGCAGTGGGCTCAGAAAAAAAAGAAGAAAGCTCCATCTGTTTGTCTCTCCCCCCCCTGCCCTCCATCTGTTATCCTGAATCTTTAAAAATTGAGAAGCTAGCACTAACGTTGGAGGAACGTTTCACTCATAAAATGCAAATCAATTTATAACTTTCTTGAAATGTGTTTTTCTGGATTTTTTTTGCTGTTATTCTGTCTCTCGCTGTTAAAATAAACTATTACAATTATAGACTGATCATTTCTTTGTCAGTGGGCAAACGTACAAAATCAGCAGGGGATCAAATTATTTTTTCCCTCACTGTATTTCATTTCTGACATACCCATATCCATATGTGACAAGTATTGGCACGTCACTCTAATAAAAACTGCACGTACTACATAAAAACGCTGAACTATGAAAGATAGGAGAATGTCAAATTTATGAAGAGAATGAATGGCATACAGAGCTATCAAAAAGTGAAATCCTACTATGAGCCAATTAAATGTTTACCAATCACATCTTTTATTATCAGATAAATTATAATGTTTTATTTTTGTTCTGCCAACTATCAGAGTATAACAGTTTACACTAAAAATATAAAATTAGAGTTTAAAAAGACAAACTAACTTCAAAGATGTGGAAAAGCTTAACTCTGTTACTGCTGGAAGAGTTCTCAGGTGACCTGCTGAGTGGTGGAAGATCATACAGAAGATGCTATTCTTCGATTAATCCAGACTTACGCTCTAACATTAATACCCAACTCTGTGTATTTTGTCTAGAAACAAATTTACATACTAATATGAAGAGTGAAAAATATTCCAGATTTCTCGGTCCCTGAAACTTTTTGGAAAAGATATTATTTTGGTTAAAATTGGGTTTAAAAATAAAAGGCAGAATAAGCACATCTCTTTTTGCTCTGATTTTCCAAACTAATATAGTCACTGTGTTTTTTTTCATGTGGGGCAATTGTTTAAAATATAAAAATTTCCAACCTCTCAATATTTGCATTTCAAGTGAGATGTGTCACTCTAATATATTCTGATAGAGAATTTGAAATGTCAGATTAGCATTCAAAACTGAAAGGTACATGTGAATTCAATTGACACCCAAAATTGCTTTTTAACTTCCACATGTCCAGAATAATATACCAGGATTTGAATAATGGTATACTGTATGAAATTCTGTAGATCCTGAAAACAGGTTTTTGGGTAAAAAAAATAATTCCAGAACGAACTACAGAAATAATGAGCATGGAAATCATGGAACTCTATCATATTTTACCACAGTTAAAAGCAATTTTTGCCTACATTTAAACTGGAAAGAATGTTTTGTATATATACCTTCATGCCCTAAAAGTAAAAGACATTCTTAAGACAGCCTTAAGAAGTGGCATTTGAGGATAACACTGTGGTCAAGTGATAAGAACACAATATTAGTTGGGAATATTTTAAATAGAAATGTGCTATTCATTTCCTGCACTATCAACCATCAGAAAGTAAGGTCAAGCATGATGTTTGTTACTTTCTGAAATTAAACAGTTTGGGATCTGGATGAGAAAACAGTTAGATCTGTATGTATTCCCCCTTTATTTATAAAGTGAAAAAGAGTATCATTTTACAGTTCTTACAGTGCACTTTCCATATCTGCTGTACTTTCTTCCATTTTCTGTTACTATGTAGAGGTAAATGAAGTTGTCATGGGAACCCACTGCAAGAAAGGTGCCATCTGTAATGCAAATTAAAAACAAACTGTAATTGGACAGTGCAAAACTCACTAGCATATCATGTATGAAACAGTTGTAGATAATAACATAAATACAAGTTGTAATTTCAAAGCATGTACTACTATTATTTTACCTATTGAAGGAAAATGATCAGCATTCAGAATGTTTTAAAAGTTCATATAAGTCTGTTAATTAGTACGGCTCTTGATAACTATGTACCATCAACTAGTGTTATTTTTAGCAACCACATAGGTTTTCTCCATGACAATTTGTCCCAAACTTGGTCCCATCAACAATGTAACTGAGTTCATCCACTGTACTGCTTATTGCCCTGTTCTCTTTCCTTCTACTTTCCCCAGAATTATAGACTTCTTCAGAGAGCTAGATTTTTGCATATGTCCAAAGTATAATGATTAGAACCTGGCCATTTGTGTATTGAGTATAATTTTCTAATTGCATTCTCAATAGTCTTCTACAATACCTAAATTCAAAAGTGTCAATACTCATTCTATCCTGCTTCTTCAAAGTCCAGAATTGGCTCTAAAGAATGCCCTGTCAAAGGAAGGTCATAAAGGAATACTAGCCCATTATCTCTTTTCCAGTGACGTTTTCTGCTTTCCAAAGACCTGCTACTCAGGGTCAGAGAGAATTGCTAAGCATTATATAAATTAAGTTCCGCTTATAGAATTGTTTCAGACTAGTTTTTCAGTATCTCTAGTCTCTGGCCAAATTCTTCTTGTATTGTGTCATTCAATTCCATATCAAATTGACAAAAGGAGCAATGGGCAGGAAGCAATGGGGGCCCAAGTAGGAAATCAATGGTTTCCTTCTGGCAGAGACTCTCAAGATGCAATTGGCAAATCTAGCCACAAATACCTTCATGGTTTAAAAATAAAATAAAAATTATCCCAAAATTAAATTTACAATGAGCAAGAATAGTTTACAGAGCTACTGAAAGGCTTTTAACGGTAAAAATAAAATTTCCGTTCCCTCAATCAGAGATATATTTAAATGATGGTATAAAAATGTTCATTCAATGGAAACTTCAACTCAGTCATACATTATATAGGATTGGGATATTTCAAGTAACGTATTTTCTTACATAAATCTGCTTCTCCATTAAGATCATCTAGCAAAATCTATTTTGATTTCCTCTAAAACAGGGAAGACAGAAAATAGAGACTGGGACATTTCTGCAACTAAACTATGTTTCTGTTCACATTTCACTATGTTCACATTTGACACACTTAGCCATAAGCTTGACCAGAGTCTTCTGAAGTGCGTGCAAATTATAATTAGTTCAAAAACAACTATGATGATACATAGCTTAATTAAAATAACTCTCAGTGGCTTTTTGAGAGTATTCTATTCAGACAAAAAGACTTTGTTTCCCCCTGCATAGGCAGAACATCTTAAAAAGCTTTAATGTAACTGCCCTAACAATGCTGCCTACATAAGACAATTTGTTTAACAGGAAATAGTTATGTTTAGAAGCAGACTTGCTGAAATCAAGAAAGCAAATTTAAATGTATTTTGTTCTGTAAATGGCTGGATTTGTACATGGCTATTTTGTACATGGATTTGTTCATGACTGTTTTGTACATGGCTGGATTGATTCTGGATAATTCTAGCAAAATAAAATTGAGAATATTTTGGTTGTTCCAGGTTCTGGATGATCTTGCAACAAAGGTTGGGAATTTTTTCTCCTCAGCCTTGCAGTGCACCTATCAATTGTCTCAATGCTCTTCTCTCTTTCTCCTTCAGTCAATGTGCTTGAATTCAAGCATGGCATAACAGTCAGCCCTTCCCTACTTGTCTTCTTCTTCCCTGCTGACATCAGCTATTATCTTTTTTCCCCATTTTCTTCCACCCTGCAGTATTTGTGTTCTGAGTCCCAGAATTTAAATGTCAAATTCAGTCAGAAAAAAAGTCCAGTTTTTGAGCTGCTGCCAGGGCATATATCTGCCGGGATACTATTTTCTATGTGAATTTGCATGACTATTTCCTTTATTTAGCTACTACCAGTATTTAGAAAGAGAAGCTGGCAAACAATACTGTTGATTCAGGTGCAGTAAAACCAAAATCAAACAAAAAAAATCAATGTTCCATATTGCTTTACTTACTTTACTAAGCAATATTTTTTCAATGTGGGAAAAATAACTTCATGAAGAGGTTAACGTTATTTTGTTCTTACATTTATATTTTATTTATTTTGAATATAACATATCATACATGGATTTGTAATAGACAGCAACATTTCCCCAACATTAAAAAACACAATAAAATATGTATGTTAAAAAGATTTATATTCAGATACAATATTGTTCTTAACTTAAAACACTCCTTTTAGAATAGTTGACATGTATTTAGAAATAAAAAAATAGTTCAAATGTATTACAGTTCTGCATACCTACTGTGTACCGCATCACAGAGAGCTGCTCGTTGCCATCTGTATGGATTGAAACCAAATCTCTGGTTTCAGCATCCAAAACAAACCACCTGTGAAGGAAAAATAGAAATGTTCTTACAAGGTTACTGTGAATTTTATAAAATGACATAACTGGTTTGACATCTGATTAAATGTTGCTCTAATAATATATCAATAAATAAGTTTTTGTTCACAATCATTTCTAAGGCAGCAGGAGTATCTGAAAACAGGGCATATAGTATGTGTATTATTATATGACCTCTTCTTGGGGCCTGGGTCACACTTTTTATTTAAATATTTACTATTATTTTGCATCCAAAGGAAGCACAGGTTAAAACTGGTGATGTATCCAGATAAGGCCAGACACTTTGGGGCGATTAAAGTGCACAACAGGCCCATTAAAAAGCCACTCATTTCAATGACAATAGGTAAGTTTGCCCCCGAATTTCAGTGGCTGTTCTGACAATTGAAAAAAATGGGCCTGGAATTTGGGTCCTGTGGATTGCCCATCCCTGGCATATACAGTTGTGTGATTTTAAACAAATGCTTATGTATTTAATGTTTGTACATAGACTTATTTAACCTAACCAAATCAGGACGTCAGCATCAGCATGAGCCCCACTGAGGACTAAGTACTGTTCTGGGAATTAATAAGAACAGCCACAAGGCACCAGTGTCTTAAAGATGATAGAATCATAGAATAGCAGAGTTGGAAGGAATCTTGGAGGTCTTCTAGTCCAACCTCCTGCTTAGGCAGGAAACCCTATACCATTTCAGACAAATGGTGGTCCAGTCTCTTCTTAAAAACTTCGTGTTGGAGCATTCACAGCTTCTGGAGGCAGGTTGTTCCACTGATTAATTGTTCTAACTGTCAGGAAATTTCTCCTTAGTTCTTGGTTGCTTCTCTCATTGATTAGTTTCCATCCATTTCTTCTTGTCTTGCCTTCAGGTGCTTTGAAGAATAGCTTGATTCCCTCTTCTTTGTGGCAGCCCCTGAGATGTTGGAACACTGCTATCATGTCCCCCCTAGTCCTTCTCTTCATTAGACTAGACATACCCATTTCCAGCAACCGTTCCTTATATGTCTAAGCCTCCAGTCCCCTGATCATCTTTGTTGCTCTTCTCTGCACTCTTTCTAGAGTCTCAACATCTTTTTTACATCATGGTGACCAAAACTGGATGCAGTATTCCAAGTGTGGCCTTACCAAGGCATTATAAAGTAGTATTAACCCTTCACGTGATCTTGATTCTATCTCTCTGTTAATGCAGCCTAGCACTGTGTTGGCTTTTTTGGCAGCTGCAGCACATTGCTGGCTCACATTTAAGTGATTGTCCACTAGGACTCCGAGATCCCTCTCACAGTTACTACTATTGAGAGAAGTACCACCTACACTGTACCTGTGCATTTGGTTTTTCTTGCCTAAATGTAGAACCTTACTTTTTTCACCATTGAATTTCATTTTGTTAGATAGCACCCAATGTTCAAATCTGTCAAGATCCTTCTGTATCTTAAGCCTGTTTAGAGTAGATTACTAGCACAATATGGTGGGATGCAACATGGTGGAAAGATGTCATAATTTCAATGACCTTGAGAATGAGCCTAGAATGAATATAAGATCTTTGCAGAATCACTTTTGCTAGTATGTTGGAACTTTTATATATCTGTTCTCTGTAACTTTTTGTTATATTTTATGAATTTTATGTTATAGTAGCTGATGCTATTCTACAAAAAGTACAACCCTCAGCTGATTTCCTGGGAAGTTTAAGAACCACAATTAACAGCATTCTAGATTCCTAACACTTTTTGTACAGGGTCTACAGCCAAAGATGCAGCAGCATTTAAAATCTATCATGTCTACCTAACAAACCCTTTAATTAGATTTTGCAATGGCTACTCAACTAAAATTTCTAAATAAGAAAAAGAAAAAGCCTGAACTAAAGCATATGACTCTTCAAATGAGTTGACTGCAAAGTTCCCACTAGCACTGGCAAGGAAAATAAAAAGAAATTTTATCTGATATGCAGTATATTGCTGCCCCTAATAAATATCGCAGCTAGATATAGCAATAGGCAGCAAAATATGAAACAAACCTTTAACCCATCTTTTCTGCGAAATGCCCTCTAGCTCAGAGGTCCCCAACCTTTTGGGAACCAGGGAACCGGTTACATGGAGAGGTTTTTCCGCAGACCGGAGGGTGCGTGGTTTTGTGTGCTACCTGCATCCCCCGGATGGGGCTTTGCTTGTTTATGCAGACCGGTTGCTTGCATGCCACGGCCCGGTACTGGTCTACAGATCGGGGTTTGGGGACCCCTACTCTAGCTTACCGGGATTTGGGGACCCCTGCTCTAGCACCAGAACTTGTTATTTCTATGGAAATCCTGGGTACTGGTAGAAATAGTGTGGATGTGTTTCAACAGGACAACACAGATGTAACATCTCAGCTACTCTTTTATCTCTCTTTCTGGATCTGAATCCATTGTTGACTGCACAGCAGGAGAAACTATCTTTTGTCTCTTAGATACTGTTGCTTCTTATTCAACTGTCAGAACTTCAACATTAAAATCTTTTGTCTTTCCCTGCTGAAATTTCCAATCAGTCAGTCTGAGCCATTCACTGCCATTATAGAATTTATTTCTATTCTCCCAAGTGTCTCTTCTGTAGATCTCCTTGGAACAGATATGTTATGCAAATTAGGGGCCACCATATATTGCACACTAGATGGAAGGTATTTACACATCACACACTTTTCAGCATGATAAAAAAGTAATGGTTTTACTGGCAATGCCTCTTGGGAGGAAATCCAATCTGATATGATAATTCCATTTTAAAGGAATTTTCAAAGAATTTGTGCACAAAGTATTCTAATGAGGGGGGACATGCAGCTTTAGCCCTTCCTGTGAAATTCAAACTGACTCAACAAAACAATTGCTCAGGAAAATGCAATATCCCTTCTCCCAAAAGCTTAGAAAGGAATCAAACTAGTAATTGAAGCACTCTTGGAGCAGGACATTATAATATTTACTAGAAACTCCTTGAACACTAATATTCCATATTATATTTTTTAAAAAGTATGTGGGGGGAGTATTATGTAGTAGCACATTTTGTAAGAGATAGAATGATAAAGTTGTGATTCCTTCCTTTCTAGTGGTTCCAAATTCTAACCAGCGTCCCTCCACACCTGCTTCCCATTTTTTCATTGTTGACCTCTTTATTTTTAATTTTTGTTCATCTTTCTGGTTAGCATCCCTCCACACATGCTTCTCATGTTTCCAGTTGTTGACCTCTTTATTTTTAATTTTTGTTCATCTTGATAGCCAGTTTCTTTTTGATTTTACCTATATGTACAAATTAACCCAGGGGTACACCAAATCTGTTTCTTCTTTCAAACTTTACATTATAATCTCATTCCGATTCTTGCCTTGCCTCTTTCTGATTCTTGCCTCTTAAAGTTGTCCCTGCCTATTCCTGTAGCAGAGGTATACACTTCCCTGGGAATAGATTTTACACCTCAAATAATTACCCAAACTCTTATATATTCTTCTGAAAGATTTTGTTGGCATTTTTCATTGGTCTGAAGTTGCAGATTTCTCTTTTCTGGCTTCAAAATGTCTTCTTGTTTCTATTAATACTGTAGGAATTCCTAACTATTCTAAGCTTTTATCTTCTGCCAGAAAATGGCTTTGCTCAATCTATTTCAACACAGAACTATGGTGAACAAAATAGACCACTGCCTTACTAAAGCAAAGCATTAGTTCCTATTGCTGCCGCTTTTGTTTGTGCACAGCAGTGGCTGCTGCTTATTCTGGGGAACTTTCAGCCCCCCTTTGTCTTGGTCATTAGCTTTTTATTGCTGTACCACATTGTGTGGTATTTATTATCTATCTGTTTTTAGCTTTGTTTTACACTTTTCTTGTTGTGAAATGGGCAGCTGTATAATTTTGATATACAGATGATAAATAAAAAAACTATATATTTGCATAGGTTTCAGACATGCCACTATTTGCATGCCACACATTCATTATTTGCCTGCCTCTCCCCGAATGCCCATGTGACAGAGGAAAATTAAATAAAAAAAAATACTATACTGAAATCCTTTACAAATTGGATTAAAGGTGACAGAAGCATTTGCAGGAAGAGATATAGAAGAAATGCTCCCCAGAAAGTGAGTTTCCATAGGTAATTTGGCCAGCTGTCTAACAGAAAAGAGAGAAATGCCTAATGAGCAGACAAATTTTAAAAAAGACATGAGATCACATAGCTAACATGAGATACATATTGCAGATACTAAAACATATTGCAGAGACTAAGAAAATTTAAGATATATTTCTGCTCAATTGACTTTGTTCTTATTTATCCAATTTATATGCTGCTCATCTCACAGTGCAATTGTAGTTATTATGCCAAATGTAGAATATATTAAAACTAATAGGTATGCCAAAACATTTGACTACTCTTCTTAAGAATCCTTACAATGAACAGGAAATATGAAGAGAATTGAATCAGGAGGAACTGAGTGCTTCAGAATAGAGGGCAGGGAAAGAATATCTTATAGAGCAGGGGTGTCAAACTGCCGGCCCGTGGGCCGGATGTGTCATGCCGAAACTGCGCCCACCCCATTGCCGGCAATGGAAAAACAGTCGTGATACATCGCGACATGTCACATGACGTTGCAAGTTTGACACCCCTGTTATAGAGTGGTATCTTATAGAGTGAATATACTTAATGACAAGATAGGAAGATAAAATAGCTGGATTTCATTAAGTGCAGGCTAAAGCCCTATCAATTTGAGGGTGATAGCCAGATGATTAATTTCAGGGTAAGCACTTTGCTAACTTAGAATAAGGAGAACTCAAATATATGGAAATAAAAATTGAAACAGAAAAATCTGAGTTAATGTTAAAAATTAAGACAACCAACCAGCATAAATCAGTATAGGGTTTCCTGCCTGAGCAGGGGGTTGGACTAGAAGACCTTCAAGGTCCCTTCCAACTCTATTATTATTATTATTATTATTATTATTATTATTATTATTATTATTATTATTACTACTACTACTACTACTACTACTGCTACTACTATTACTACTACTACTACTACTACTATTATTATTATTATTATTATTCCTGTTGGCAACAAAATTAAAATGAAAGATAATTTTGCCTTCTTAGGACAATGGGCAACAAAAATGAATTAATTTTAGGAAAGATGACAGTGCTATTCTTAGACATCATGAAAGATAAGGATATTTCTCTAACAATGGAGCTGATAAGCAAATCATTGAGGTTAAGCAAATCAATGAGGTCATTAAATGAATCACATGGTCATTAAGTGAATCCAGCTTCCTCAATTGACTTTGTCAGAAGCTGGCTGAGAAAGTCACGAACAGTGATTGTGTAACGGCAACACACTGCAACTGTCATAAACTAAGTCAGTTCCCAATCGCCCAAATTGTGATCACGATTGTTGGGGTGGTGTAACTTCGAAGATGGTTCATAAATCATTTTTCCAAGGCCATTGCAACTTGAAGTTTTGTTAAACAACTGGTCATAAGTTGAGAACTACTTTTATTAGTCTATTTCCTAAACTTTCTTAACGATAGAATGTGAGCAACAGTATTTCTATGCAAGGCAGTCTCCAGACTAGAAAGCCTAACGTTTGAATCGGTTAGCATTTTCTTCTAAGCAATCCCATACTCATTTGGTGCAGGACCTTTGAACGTTCCTAATACAGTAGCTGAAATAAATAAAGCTGAAAGAAATACAACATACTGTGATTGGCCTATGGCTCCTGACTTTTGGTACACCCTATATGAGATTTCTTCCTCACTATATTGTTCTCCTGATATCTTTAGCAAACAGATCCTCTATTCTACTGGGCTACTGAGTACTGTATCTTCACAGAATTATGAACATGCTTTTTTATTACTATAAAATGCTTTGGAAACTTTATAACTCCAAAACATATATGAATTAATTATCCCACCATCAAGCAAGCATATGTACTATCACAGTACATAGGAATGGGTTTTGCTTCTTTACTCATAAATATGAATGAACTTGTTCATTTCTAGTACTTTTTGAAAAAAAATCTTCCTTCTGGATGTTCTTTCTCTTTCTTTCATGCAGGAATTAACAATCTGAAGCCTTTCAGAAGTTGCTGAATTCATTTCCCAGGATATAAAACTCTTTCTTGATTTTGGTGATCAATTAATCAATCTTTCACCACTGATCATACTGTTGAGTTTTCTAAAAATTGTCACTTAGTGCAGCGTTCCCTAACCTTTCCAGGTTGGTAGCCTGGCGTGAGGGCAGGGGTAGATGGTTTTGTGTGAGGGGCAAGTGCACACGCACAAAAGTTCATTAGTGTGAGCAGTGGTGCACACACATGCCGCTCGCATGAGTAGAGCTGCAAGCACCAGTGCCCGCTGCGAGAGCGAGTGAGGCTGCGAGCACTGGGACCCATATGAATGGGGCTGTGCAAGCTGGACCACCATTCATGCGGCCCAGTTGCGAATAGGCCCGGCCCAGTAGTGGGCCACATCCCACAGGTTGGGGACCCCTGACTTAGTGATATCAGAAGAATAGGTGCTTTGCCTCATAACTTGATGACATTATGATACAATCCATTTGTTCCAGCTAAGCAGGTTTGAATATGATCAATGCCTGAATGGGTAATTACCCATGAATCCCATAACCCACTTTGAATTCCATAACGGAAGACACAAATATGCTAACTAAATTAAAAGCAACAACAGTAAATCACTATCAAACAGAGAACAATTTCCAGAGGATTATATTTGCTTTTGCCTGAAGAAAAGCATTACAACATTTTTACCTTCCTGAGTGTGTTCCTATCGCTACCACTGTACCACTTGGATGGAAGTCAGCACAATGTCCCGGTTCCTGAAAGACACATGTTGATCTTATGATGTAAGTTAAAATTGAATAATATTTACACAGGCAATTATTCACTGGCCTGTCTCACCTGGATTAAGAGAAGTAAATTGGAGTGAATTCCACAGTTCCAGTTTATGAAGCCATATGCTCTGAAATTACTCCACATATGTGGAGCATATGGCCCATTATACTATATTGATTTTAACCTGATGAATTTAAACAAAGTCTATAACTATGCAATCTGAATATCACGTCAAAATTTACTAAAACTAATTTAGGGATTAATGCCAAGGCAACTTATGAATCATTTTAATGGCATGGTTTTTACCTGTCTAATAACTTAGCAAAATACTGCCATTCATCCCAGCTTAAATAACTAACTGATTAGTCTAAGAGACATTTTGCATCATTGTAGGATCATTGTCAGCAAGTTTTTCTAGCTAGACCAGCATTATTCACCTCCCCCTCCCCTGTGGTTCTTCAGGCATAAATTGTGGCCATCCTTCACTGCTAAATCTTTTTAACTTAAGATACTGAAGAATGACCATCCATCCAAAGTTTTTACTTTATTTCTGACTTATAGACCAGAGATGGGCAACCTTCTTCAGCCTGGGGCTGCATTTAAAAAAAAAATTGTTCCAAAAACTGCAGTGGCATGGTAATGATGCAGTGATGTTAAGGAAGAACAGGAAGTTGTCAACTCCTCGCTTTCTATGTAAAATAAGATGTATTAAATAAAAACTTTTTTTTTTAAAAAAAATGGAAATTATGCTGTTGTTGCAAAAAAAACCCCCCCTACTGTTTGATTTTCTCTTAACATGGAATCTCTACTTAGAAAACACCCCATAACTATGCTTAGTATTCTAATAGAGGATGAGGCACATACATCTAGTAGCCTGGTCCATTCAAGAGTGTGGTCCACTGAATTCCACATACAAACTTGACGATCTTGAGCACAAGTTAAGAACAGGTCTTTGAACGGATGTGTTCCCAGGCCCCAGAGTTCATCGGTGTGGCCCTAAAAACACAATGTTAATGTATGGACAGATATCCATAATTATATAGTAAACAAAACAGATCAAATATCTATAAATTCAAAGAGAAGAAAGGGACACACCTGTACTTCCACTTGAAAACCATCATTAAATGTTCCACGCAAAATAAAATTCCTTGATGTCCCAAGAATAAATTGATCAGCTTTGCCTTCTGCCACAGCTCTTATTGTCCCATATTGATCAGGAACCTATGAAAATCATATTTCCTTGAAATCCACTGTATAGATTACAAAGCATAATAATACTCTAAAATACTGAAGGTCACAACAAATCTCAAATAGATTCAATGTTTCTATCATTAACCTTTTGTTACCTTTCTTATTTTAAACTATCTCCTCTTTTCAAGGTGTATATTATATGATTTGAGTGATAAATATGCATTTTAAAAAAATAACATTTTAATGTTGTTTTTTCCCTGTTACAATCCAGTCTTATTTCAGGGAAGATGGAACTTAATTTCAAATTTCACTACTACAAGCACAAAATAATGCTAACAATCATAGCTGGGGGGGGGATTCACTCCTACGAATCCTCGGGTTACGAATGTAATTGGTAGGCTCCACTACATTTGTAACTCGAGGTTTACCTGTACACATATCAAATTGGCATCTTCTTACTAATTTTATTGACCACTTTTTAAAAAATAACTGTTTTAAAATTATTTCCTTTTTTGTTTAATTGCAGTTAAAAACAGTATCACTATAATAAAATAACTGCATTTTTCCTAAATTCAAAGTAAAATATCTTTAATGTACAATATCTGACTGAGTTATCAATGTCAGATGAGGGGATTTTAAAAAATGATGTCCTGCACAATTTAGAATTTTAAGATATGATTTTATTTTTCTTAACATGTCTACATTCTGTTTTACTATTTGTAAACTATGTCATTATAATTATTGGGTTTTACTGTTTTTTTGCTTGCTGTCTCACAACTTGTTTTCATTTTATTTTTTTGAGTTGGACAATAACTGTAAGAAGCACAAGAAATCTTACAAAATTACAAAACTTCAAATAAATCCATATTATGTGCTTTGCTTTCTGCATAAAGATGTCAAGTTACTGTACCTAATAAATTACTTAATTTCATTACCTAAAACTAATGCAAAAACATAATTCTATTAATTGTATTGTGTCCCATATGTAAGATAATACTGAAAGCTATACATTTTTCCTATACGAATGAGATGACAATTTATCCCACATTCCTGCAGAAGAGGAATCTTCTAATCTTCACCTATAAAGAGAGCAAATGGATTTACTTGAAGTCTTGCTATCTGTATAAAAAGATATATCAGGTGTATTTAGCCATTTTTTATCACTGACCCAGCATTTTATGCAGATTTTTGTGCATTTGGTTTCATGGGGCTAAATAATTTTGCTTTCATTTAATATTTTCTCATTTATTTTTAATTTAGCTGTTCCTGATTTTTTAAGTTTTGGAAATTTATTTTCAAGTCTTGAATTGTAAACTGACCTGGAATTCTTTTTGCTTGAAAGATAACTCAGAAATACTTGTGCAAATAAATACTATGTTAATTGTGCGAAGAAGATTAGGAGATAGAAAACAAATTTAAATAGACACAAAATGAAAATAGTTGTCATGATTCTTACTATAACCTGAACGTTCAGCTTAACATGCTTAATAAGAGTACTATGAAGAGAGCAGATGAATCTGCTAAGGTTTTTTGAGCTACTCTGAAGGAGAACAGGATAAAAATCAATACTGTAATTATATGATTAATAAAAAGGATAGAAATTGATTGGTACATTTGAAATCTTAATTAGTGCCTGCTCTTCAGCTTCCCTCATCTCAGCTCAAAAGTACAGTTTCCTATTATTTTTCTTACCTCTATTTCCCTTTCAGCATTCAAGTCATGATCCCACAAAATGATTTTTCTATCCTTCCCACCTCCAGTTAGCAGCATTCCATTCCTCATTTGACAGAGTGTGAACACACTGCCATCATGAGCTTTGATTTGTTTGCTGATTTGATACACACCTGTAATCATATAAGAAACAGTACAGTGCCAATACAGCATATTTGCCAACCAGTTTAAAAGATTATTTAGAGAAATCAGAAATAATTAGTGCTATGTGTATCAATAAGATGTTTGAAGGAGGGTGGAATTTCAAGTTGAAGAAAGGCAGCATTTCTTCAGTCTGATCAAATTATATCTGAACACTTTTAATTGCTACATGATAGCCTCCTTATATTAAAAATTAACTTGATGACTGATTTTTTAATAGAAGGAGAAAGAATCAGGAGGGTTCATGGATAGATGTACATGTGTAAATTAAAAAAAGAAAAAGAAAATTGAGATACTGATGCCTACTTCTGTTAGTCTAGAGAAAGTTTTTGAAAATGTGAAATTTTAATAGTCTTCTGGACTGGGGGGTTATAATATATTTTAATAAATAATAATAACTCTAAAGACATGCTCAAATTTACCTAAGGAAAAAAAACATAGTTGGGTGTTTCTGATTACTAAAAGATGGATCCAAGAGGAATTTCACCTTTTTTAGGGAAAAGGCAGACCCTGATCCTAACTTGTAAAAGAAACCCCACCCAATAGCTGCAAGTGCTAACTAGTAAAGAGTGTAACTCAACATCTTCATTGTTAATTCACCTTAACAAAAAAATGCCAATGGCAAGAATAAAGAGAAATGGAAGAACAATAACTAATAATTAATAAACCACAGGAAAGTATTTAGAAAATTTACCCTTGGACATTTGAATTCTCTCTGAACTGGTTTTGCCCTCTTCTGCATGGGGACTGTAAGGTCTTTCCATGATCAAAAATATTCTTCACAGTAAATTCAATTATATTCTTGGTCACCAAAGAAGGAACCAATAGGAAAGATTTAAATTGTTGTTCAGTTGCTAAGTCGTGCCCAATTCTTTGCGACCCCATGAATCACGGCAATCAGCCCCCCCCCCCAATCCTCCATTGTCTTCTGGAATCCACCCAAATTCATGTTCATTGCATCGATGTATCCTGCCATCAGAGGACTATTGCTGATGATGTTGTGTGGTGCATGTGCTGGCTCTTTGAGTTCAGAAAATTGCTATCACCTAATTACTAATTTGTGGGTATGTGTGTGTGTAGAAGTCCTCAGTTTGGCTTTAATGTAGTCAAACATGATGCCAATGCTTGGCTCACCCCATCCTATCAGGAATAGTGCTTATCTTTTGCTCCACAGCTCAACTAAAGCCTGAAAAGGGAGAGAAGAAAATTCCTCTACAAGATAAGAAGATGTTTTGTGTCCTGCCCTCTAGATGGAAGAGATGGAGTTAACCTCTGTTGTTGTTAGCTCCCTCTTTAGTGTCTTTTCACATATATTCACTTCCTTCAAGCCTATGTACTTGAAAAGAAAATAAACTGAGGTTTTATAGCCACAAATTACTACTAACTTCTAAAAACCCATAGAAGCCAATTTAAAGATCCAGATTTTGGACATACTTACTTTATATCTAACTTAACACCCAGGCTAACTTTGGATTTCAGTCACTAACCATATGCTGTTAACCAACTTTGATTATCTGAATTATCTCAATTCAGTTTTTCTTTTGAGTGTTCATATCTAACAAACTTCTAATTTTAACATCAGTATAAAACAATCAAGAAGTGGGCTGGTTTAACTGGAATTAAATGTGAGATACAAAAAGGATTAGCGCATAAAGGCTTTGCATATAATGTTTTGTATAAATATGTATATTTAGAAACCTCTGAGTAACATTAAACTTTAAGATTAATACTTAAAAGGTCATGTACCAGTCATAGTAAATCAGTTATTATCTGTTCTAGAACACAAATTAAAAAGCAAATTTATGCTTAACTTTAAAATTTGGTGTAAAAATCCAAGTAAAGTGCAAAATGCATATTTCATTTAGACTATCTTTACAAAGATAAATGCATTTTTTTCTAGATATATGCAATAAGACATACTTTGAAACAAATCTTTATTAATCCTATGGTAAATTCAACAAGACCTATAAGTCATAAAAAAGCCAACTCAACAAAACTTGGATCTAGTTAAATATTAAAGTTTTCATTGTAAAATATTTGCTGTATATAGTAAAGTATTATTTGCTTTTCAGTTATATGAAATGCACTCTCCATGATATAATTATGCTTTTACATTAGTATTTTCTTTAGAAACAAAGTTCATTGAAAATATATATTTGCAGTTAAAATGTCATGTACTGAAACTGTTTTTTCTGGCATGTGTATTTACAACCCAGCAATTTAATTAACTGCCAAAGAAAATAATTATCTTTGGGTTTAAGAACTACCTTAGAGCTCGGCAGTGCCAGACATACATTTTCCTGGTTGCTAATAATAATTATTTTCTAAAAATTTAAATTGAAATTAAATATAACCTCTAAAGCGTATTTAACTTAAAAGTCAGAACGTTAAAATTAAAACAAGGTTTGGTTCCAGTATTTGATGATTAGCCAATTTGATGATTGGTTAAGAATTGCAAAAATTCTACATTATTTTTTTCTCTTTCTTTCAAGCATTTATTCATATGATAATTAATATTGATAAAGAAGAATATTTGTAGCCAGTAGAATATAAACTAAGAACAAACGCCACCCGTTACTAGCATTGATGATGTTACCTAGTTTGGATAATGAAACACTTGGATAAAAACAACCAAGCTTAGAATAAGCAACATTCTATGAAAATATTTTATCCGATGTTATGACCCATGTGTTAAGTTAGAAACTTTTCATTGCTCATGCACATTTCTTGTTTTAAGTCCTGATCAGCTATATTATTTGTTCATATATATTTCCCATCAGTTGATAATTATGAATAGCCATATTGGAAAAGCTGTAATGATACAACTAATCAAAGATTCCATTTCTTATAGCAGTTAAAATAAAATGCTGTCAGGAAGTCCACAAGCAGGACTAAAGGCAACCATTTACTGCTATATTTCTTCCCAGCAACAGATACTCAGTGGCAAAGAACAGCTTCAGAATTTCTAGATTTGAAAGGAGCATATAAACACCATTAGAAATTGATATTAACCCATAGTAGCAGATCTTAGCCACAGTTTGTGGCAGCAAGTTTTTAAAGCTAATTCTAGAGTGTTCTTTTTATCTACCCTGATTCTGAAATACTCAATTATGTTTCAGTTTGTTCTAGATATTTTGCTTAAAACTAGAAGAGAAAGGTTTGCTGAGAAATTTATAACTTGGAACAAAATTAATCTAAAATGTTCACCAGGGTTTTAAAATTCTTTTTTCACATACATTCAACTGAAAAACTAGCCATGAAAAACTAAAGATTGATAAAATTTAGTATAGTATAGTATTATATTATATATGCATTAATTAATAGTTTTATTGAAAACATATGCCATCTGCATTCTCAGGAACCTACCTTATTTGATCTCCAATATTGGTTGCATTTTTATTAAACTTGAAGTATATTTACATGATATAAATAAATCTGTAAGATGAGAGCGAAGGTTCGTTCTCCGAGCTTGTGGGTTGGTTTCCGAACATTTCGTTACCAGGCTGGGTAACATCTTCAGCAGAGTTTAGGGGATGTCGGCGTCAGTGTTCAGGTGTGGGTGTGTCAAGTGAGGTGATGGGTCAGGTACGAGTCATCAGTGAGAAGCTTATGATGGGTCTTGTAATAGGGAGGTTACATCAGGTCAGGGTCATTGGGAGGTGAACTGCTGGTGGGAGGGGGAGGGGGGGCTTTTGTGGGTTGGTTGAGCGTCGGTGCTGTCTCTGGCTGGCTGTGTGGTTGATTTGGATTCTGAGGGGTTCATAAGCTGGTTGTAGGTCGATGTGCCTGTTGATGGAATTGCTTGTGGAATGCCAGGTTTCGATGAATTCAGGAGGATGGCAGGTGGCCGATGATTTTAGTGTTGCTCCAATCGAACTGATGTTGTTTGGTGTCGGTGTGGGTAGAGATTATGGATTTGCCAGCCGGCGTTTGTGGATCCTGTTTTTTAATTGATGTGATGTGATGTTTGCTCCACGTAGAATTAGTTGCAAACATTATAGTCTATTTTATAGATTACATTGTTTCTTTCATCCTTCAGTATCTTGTCTTTGGTTCTGGATGGTTCCTGGCTCTGGCAGAGTGCAAAAACTAACCCTACCATACACAAAAGGGGTGTCAGAAATGAAAGCCAGATTTCTCCAACACCTAAGAATTACAATAGTGCAACAAACCCACAGCCACATTCCACCAGGAATTATCCAGAAACAAAGACAAGATACCGAAGAATGAAATAAACAATGTAATCTACAAAATAGACTGTAACGATTACAACTAATTCTACGTGGGGCAAACATCACATCAATTAAAAACCAGGATCCATGAACACCAGCTGGCAGTCAAACGCCATGATCCCAAATTCTTAATCTCTACCCACACCAAACACCAGTTTGATTGAAGCAACACTAAAACCATTGGCCACACTACCACCTGCCATGCTTGTGAGTTCATCAAAGCCTGACATTCCACAAGCAATTCCATCAACAGACACATTGACCTACAACCAGCTTACGAATCCCTCAGAATCCAAATCAGTCGCACAGCCAGCAAGAGACAGCACCGACCCTCAACCAATCCACACAAGTCCCTCCACCAGGAGTTCACCTGACCTAATGTAACCTTTCCATCACAAGACCCATCACAAGCCTCTCACTGACTCCTACCTGACCCATCATGAGACCTTCATTTAACACCCCCACACCTGAAGCCTTTATAAACAGAACACTGACACTGACTTCCCCTAAACTCCACTGAAGATGTTACCTACCCTGGTAATGAAACATTTGGACCCTACACCTGAGCTACAGATATTCGCCACTATTGCAAATATGCAAGAATAAGTATGTTACCTTTTGATCCTTTTCCTGATGTGGCTTCTACAGTAGTTTTGCTCCATATAAGCAATATCCCACCTGAATCACCAGTGAGAACTTCTCCATTGCCTAAAAATGCTAAGCACTGAACAAATTTGGGTTTGTCGTATTTCTGAAAAACAACAGAATATATTTAAGGCTTTCTGTGTGAACAACTATACATGCGAACACAGGCAAGTAACCTCAATTTAGACAGGTTTACTGGGGTTGGTGGTTGGTATATTGTCTTAGTAGAACATGTTAACATACATACAAATATATTTATGTGTGTCTATATATACATGTGTGTGGGTGTGGGTGTATACACACATATACACAAACACACACACACTTGTATAAATACATACTATACACACATACATTACATGCTATTAAATCTCCTATTTTCTGAGTAAGAATTATTACGAAGAGTTATTATGAAGAAGAAAGTAAGCCTTTCTTGGGAAGAATATAATGTAATCAGCGTAATACTTCAAAAATTCTAATTTACAACTTCAGGAAATTTGGCCAATATAAAGATTCTTACCCCAAATATTCCTTGTTTCCTTGTTAATGAATTTGTATTCCAAGTCCAGAAAAAGATATGAGATTTGCCAGATGTTATTATTGTATCTTTATCAGTCGGATGAAAAGCTACTGCCAGGACAACTTCATTTGTAGTCTTTTTAAAGAAAAAGGGAGTTGTCATTATTAAAGTTTTGGTTCTTATAAGTAACTAGAGAACTTGCTATGTACACAGAAACGCAAAACACAATAGTGAAGCAGATTTGCTCATTTATTATTCATGATTTATTCTTAGCATTCAAGCAATTGTATTTTGGGTACACCTTACATTATCTATAGAGAAAGCAACATGTGATCTAGTTGCAGATAAGTTCATTTGTCAAATACTTCCAAATTCCTCTCAGCCTTTTGGCTGACATCAAGTGTGTGATACTTCCAGAGTGGTTGCAATAATAGGAAGTGGTGCATGCATCCAGCTATATATAAGAAGGTTGCAATTTAACCTTCTATATAAACAAAGGAATATGAAGATTCTGGCCCACAGACACCTTTCTCTGGGTATTTTAATAAAACATCAGATACAGTTAGAATGTAATAGTGATAAAATTGGAGAAAGCAGCAGGGGGATTTACCTTGGAAGTGTAGTTTATCTATATTATTTATCTTAGTAAATTTATACTAGTAAATACAGAGATTATGTACAGTAAATACATCATTGACTATGATATAGATATTCTGGCATTGGTAAGCTAATCAAAACTTGAATCCATTCCATTGCTTTGATTCATGAACAGAAGTCATAGTTCGTGGGTTTTTTATTTATTTCTTTATCATGTCCTTCTCACACAAATACTTTTTCCTGTTAACTTAAAAAATTAAATTAACTAAGTGTTGGGCACTGTCCAAAATCACCTTTGGTCAGATAGGCAGCTATATACATATGATTAATAAATAAATAAAAATAAAAACACTTCATGCATTTGATGATTTTTTTCCAAGAATGCTTATACTGTTGTAAATCTGTAGGTCGTTGGGTGTATCCAACTGATGTCTGTCTCTGCTGACAGATAGCTATTTGGTCCAACTGACAAATTCATTTAGTGAAATGGAGATATTGCTATAAGTAATTGTATCACTAGAGTGATACATACTGAAGGCATCCTTTCTTGCTTTGAACACAACACAAAGCTGTACATTCCTCTCTGAAAAATTGACAAAATTACCAAGAGGGACAAACCAAACTTAGCAAATATTTCTTTTGAAATTTTTCAAATGTCCAGTAAGATGGTAGCAAACAGATTCAATATATTTTGCGTAACTTTGGTAATACATCTAAGCATCTCTTAGAGACTTAGATCAAAATGAAATCTATTATTTACCTTTATTTCTGCTACTTTTGATTTCTTCTGCCAGTCCCAAACAGTCAGCATGTGTTCGTTAGAATCATCA